TCGGGCTTCCTGTAGTCAGCCGCTGGTCAGTTTCAGCAGCGGCTGAATCTGGACGCCAGTTCCGACTTACATACAGGTTCAACTTAAGAACAAACCTACAGTCCCTATCTTGTACGTAACCCGGGGACTGCCTGTACTCACTTGAAATTGCAGGCATGCAAAATAAGGAACAAAACTAGCTAGTGCCAGGTAACCAAGATTCAAACCCCTTGCTCTTGTGTGAATGCAATGATATCTCTGACCACAAGTAGTCTCTATCTTTTTCAATTGGAAGAAATCAGATTGTACTTCTGACAGCAAATTAATAATATTCTCCATTATTTGTTCAGCACTTGCTCAGAAGTGTACCACATCCTGGTTGCCAGTAACAGACAGCACCTTCTGATTTCCTTGGAGATCTTATAGTAGATGTCCCTATTTAGTAAACACAAAACTCTCACAGTTTGCAGTAGAAACTTCATCATCGGTTAAATTAGAAATGTATTACGTCGTTCACGGACATTAAATCAGTCAAAAAATTATGCCTTGATTTCTAGTTTCTACAATCCCATAAACTTAATTGAAAACTTAATATATAAAATTTGCTAATAACTATCTTCTGAGATTACACACTTCACATAGGCATTTAAGTCCCCTTTCATCTTGTACAGAAATATTTCAATCAGTTAATGCTCTTGCTGTTTATACATTTCTGAACATGAGTTGTCTACTCACTTAAATGTAGTATTTGATACTAAAGATACAGAATATATGGTGTTTAAACATTTCACAGGTTTCTTGAATGTACAGTATTAGTTTATATTGGGAATGTTAACAATTCGTGAATTTGTGTAAACATGTAATTGTTTCAAATTTTAGTGGTTACACGTTTACACATGGGCACGCAAGCAGAAGCTCATGAGGAGGTGGCTTAAAAGCTGGCTTCCACTGACCCCACAGCCCTCACTGCCTCTGATAAATTGGCAGCAGCACAGGTAACTGATGGTTCAATGGGAGCCGATATGTGCAGGGAGCCAGCTTGAAAGCCTCTTCCCATGTGTACTGGCTCCCGCCTGCCTCCCTTATCCCTTGTGCTGCTGCCTCTCTATGGGTACATCTAAACGGCATCACTTTTTTGATAAAGGGACGTAAAATAGACGTATCAAAGTTGTAAAAGCCGGGATTTGAATTTCAGCCACGGCTTTTTTTTTTTCTTTCTGAAAAGCCGCTTTAAAAAAAAACGCAGTCAAGACGGGGATCGTTTGACAGAAATCCCCCGTTTTGAAAGATCCTGTAACCCTCAAAAAATGAGGGTTAAAGGATCTTTTGAAACGGGGCATTTCTGTTGAACGATCCCCACCTTGACCATGGTGCGTGTGTGTTTTTTATTCATCCCCCTCCCCCTCAAAAAAAGCAGCTTTTCGAGAAAAAACCATGACCGCTATTATGTAAATGAAGCACGGGAAATTCAAATCTCCGCTTCATTTACAGTTTTGATATGTCTAATTTACATCCCTTTATTGAAAAAGGGATGTAGTTTAGATGTACGCTATAAGGGCAGGTGGTTTCACGGAAGCCGGTGCTCATGGGGAACCATCTTTTAAGATAGTTCTCCCCCGAGCACCAACTCCCACCCAACCCCTCCACTGCCTCTACTACAATGGGTGGGAGCACATGTAGTTGTGAGGATTAACCAATAAACCCAGGATTATCAGTTAATTGTGTAATCAAATACATGCTAACATCCTTATTTTTATATAGAATTATGAGGTAGGAACAAAGGCTTTATAAAGAAATTAAACCATAAGGGAATGGAACCAACTCTTTTGTTAAGTGGTGTTTGGTTATATCTTAAGAAGCTGAGAAACTTAAAAAACTTCCTCAAATTCAACATTTGTCATATTTTTAGTACCAGGAGAAGTTAGAATTGAAATTATTTTTCTTACAAGCAAGTGTAGTTTGTATAATGTACATTTTCTGTTTTCCTTTTCTCCTAATAACTAGATCCGTTCTTGTGCAGAAAGAGAAACTACGCAGAAAGATGACATTCCAGAAGAAGACAAAGGAAATGTTAAACAGTGTGAAATCAATTACGTGTATGTAACTGAAAGCATTTAGCTGCCAGCCTTCTGCATCTAAAATAAACTATGCATTCGATACCTGAGTAAAAAGGATTCCCATTTTCCCATTTTTAAAACTTTCAGGACCTTGAATTCTGACCCATCATCTTTCTAGTCAAATGAAATTCTCTGCATAGTCGGTCAGCACTGCACATTAATCCACTCAGGCTATGTCTAGATCCATTCCCCTTTCGAAAGAGGATTGTAAATGAGGCAAATCAAAAGTGCAAATGAAGTATGGATTTAAATATCCCATGCTTCATTTGCATATTTGCATCCTCCTGAAAAAATGAGTATGGATTTTTTCGAAAAAGGTTTTTTTAAAAAGAATCCTGTCTAGACTGCGCTTTCACTTTCGAAAAACCCTTTTTCGAAAAAGCACTTGGATGCAAATATGCAAATGAAGCATGGGACATTGAAATCCACGCTTCATTTGCACTTTCAATTTGCCTCATTTACATTCCTCTTTTGACAGAGGAATATAACTTAGACATGCCCTCTGAGTGGTTCCTGCTAAATGACAGTTTCCCTGTGAGAATGAAGTGGCTGAATAGGTTGCATCTGCAACACTCAGTGCAACATTTGAGACCATTATGGATTCTCCTCATCTTGTTCTAGTTTTAGGCCACCAGTCTAGTCCATGCATTGAACTTTGAAATCACGTTCAAGTATTGAATTGTGTTATATTACATTTCAATGTAACTAGCACTTTATTATTCTTTGCAGAAAGAAGTTCCAAAGTTTCCAAGATCGTAAACTCAAAATAAGCCAAGAAGACAGCAAAACTCTCAAAAAAGCCAGAAAAGAAGGCAGTTTCCATGAGACACTGCTTGACAGGTATTTTAAAATCCTAATAATAATTCCAGCTGTTGATTAAATGAAAGCTATTGACAGATACTCCTGGAAAGCTAAAAGACAACTAAAGTTAAAGTTACTTAAATGTTCTCACTGTAGTCCGTTTTCTGCTGCCAGTATATTTTTGAAACTCACCTTTTGAGCTGAAAATTTTCAGACCTGCCTGGTTTCTATGAGAGAACTTTTATAGAAATCTTGAGCAAAATTAAATTGAATACAAGGAAGTTATTATAAAAGCAAAATTTGTATTTTTATGTTTTCAATAACCCTCTCACCAAAATGGGGATAGAAAGTTGCATTTTTATAGGAAAACAGCCATTACTGAGTATTCTTTTCCCATTGTCTTTTGAAAACTAGTCTTGGATTAGCCAAGCTATGAGGGTCTGAGAATAGCACTTTATCCAAGTGCAATATGTGGGGAATGCAGAATATCTCATTACTCATAATTGAACTGTATATCTATAACTAATTCAACTGCATAGAACATTGAGAACATCTCTTTCTAACATTGAACAATTGTTGGTATGTGTATTGAAGACATTGGGGTTTCATAGGAGCTTTTGCCCCATCGCATTGACTTATGTCGCTGAAAATTTTATGAACCTGGTATAATAATTTCTGTGATGTTTGCTGTGTATTCCAGTGAACCCTTTCCTTGTTAAATGTGATGTCATGCCAGAAATGTCCAGCATAATAGTTTTTGATAATGGAACCCTTTTTCTTTACATTTCCTGCCTTTAAAAAATTCTAATAAAAACAGTAAGAGATTAAGTCTTCAAGATTCAGAAGTCAGAGAATTCCAAAATTTTAAGATAGCATGTGCAACCAGCTGGCATATTCCATACAGTTCTAATGCAAGAATAAATACTAGTTGAGCATAGTAACAAAATCACTGAACAAATCATGAGTACTAAAAGGCCTCTAATGTCATTTGCAAATGCTCCAAAGATAAGTGGAAGCAAATGTTATAACAGCCTCCTCATATGTCTTATGACTATCACACTATTCAAATGTGTAATCTAAATTTTGTGTCTTTCCTTTCATATAGGAGATCAAAATTGAAAGCTGATAGATACTGCAAGTGACAAACAATTGGCAGGTTTGCTTGCTTTTATATCCTTCAGTTGCCCATCTGAACATACTATCTGAATAAAACATTTTGCAAAAAGTGATTGTATTTATGCAAAGACTTTCTTGTTCTTACTTCTCATTAAAGTTAGTATCTAATGTCACTCTACATAAGAATGTCATTATTTTGATGGAATGCTATTTAGCTGCTTAATAAACTTTACAAATATTAAAATTTGGTATGCAGAATTTTATCCAAAAGCAAATAGCTTTAGCAATTTAATAGATGAAGGTTGAGAGAAGCAACTCAGTAATCTGAGGGTCATGTTGATTAACAATCAAGAAGAGAAGAGCTGCATATGAAACCAAACTATAAAGTTGCCCTGACAAATTGTACTTCCAATAAATAAATATTTTATCAGACTAATGTCTCTCTGAGCATATTGGACTGAAGTCTCAGCTTGACTTCAGTGGAGTCATGAGGCCTTATATCAGCTGAGGATCTAGAATGGTTTTCTACATTTATAGATGTCAGTTTGTCTGTAAACATTAAGTGAATACTTGTGTAAACTGTACTTGAAAAACAGTATGAAGGAATGAAGAAAAAGGCTGTCAGAATAAAAGCTGAGGCTCTTCATGAGAAAAGACCACTTAATTACTTGTACACTTAATCATCATCATGTTGCTGATGTTTGAATGCTCTTCCAAATTTTGCTAACTTACATCAGTTTTATGAACTTGTTTCTATCTTTTTAAACTAAACATGTTAAAGAATGGTGTAAAATGCAGAATCTGTACATTCTTGATTAATATGTAGAATGCAGTTTGCTATGTGCTTGTTACCAAAATTTTATTTTAGTAAAGTCCCTTTATAGGAACTATTCCAGCTACACTGATTGCAACACAATTCAGTTATAACCAGTCTTCAGAAAGTACTTTGTTACCATGCTCAGCTTTTTCACCTCAGTTCTTATGTCTCAAGAAGACCATTATTTAAGTTATCTACATGCAATGTGCAGTCTGTACTGTTCTTAGTGGTTTTTAATTTGGAGTGTGCAGTTGCTTATAAACTAAGACGGGGTAGTCAGTCAGGAGCTCATGGGCCAAATTTGGACCTCCAGACTCTTCTGAATGCACCCCAACATATTTTTATTTACTTACTTTTATCATTATTGTTAGCTGGAATCTGGACCTTGACAAAAAAATAATTGACTACACTTGACTCAAGGTGTAGACGTGGGATTGTTAAAAAGAACAGGTAAAGTCTGAGCATAAATACTCATCAGCATAAGGCTAAAAGACGGTATTTCCAGTTTAAAGTGACATCACTTTACAGCTAGCCTATGTAAAAATGAATCAGTGTGAACTTAATAGTCTATATTCAGAACAAGTTACAACTGGTTCTTAACCCAATTAAGAAAGAATTACAGTAGCAGAGCCTTATACTCATGTGTCACTGATGTCAGGGAGTCATAGGACAAACAAGTTCATAGATTGTACAGATTTATACAGCTGAAAAACTTTTTACTGTTCCTTATCACATGAAAAACTGATTTGCTGCATCAGAATTAGAACTGGTGCTTGAGAAAGTTTATAGGTTCTATGCTAACTACACACCTTGATTGTTGACTCCCCCATGTGATTTTAATGCCAGAAATCTAATTGTCTGCTTATTTAATACTATTAAAAAGATAAAGGATCCTAGTTTTTAGATACTATGGAGAATTTGAGTCCAATTCTTAGTTTCTTAGAAAATATATATATATATTACAAAAATAAAAACCATAACACTTGTCCATTTATTATCACCTATTTTTTTATCCATTGTTGCTGTTTGTCTAGAAATATACCAGCTCATGCCCTGTTTATCTTCCTGCAGCAGAGACTCTGCACCTAATGCTTTTTCATGAAAGCATGGGAACCAGCAGTTACAGTGTTCCTGAGTCTATACCCAGTCCTAAAGAGAGTCCTCTGTGTCTGAGAAACCATAGGAAAGGAAAGTGCTTGGGAATATGACTCCTACAATGATGCAGGGATCTCACATGAAAGTTAATATAGCTTCCTTTGGGAAGTAGCTTTTCAAGGGGAGTCCTTGCCTCATGGCTCATTTGATGTTGCGCATCCAAGGAGTTGAAAAGAAGGTTGAGAGACCCGCAGAGCTTCTGTGGACTCAGAGGGAATATGCAAATAGCATTTTGCTTCCATGTATATCTCTGCAGATCTGCTTATTCCACAGGGAGTCAACCCAATAGAAGAACTGATAGAAACTCTGCCATTTTTCCTTCACAAGACTTTTTGTGTGAGATTTTGCCTGAGAAGAGAACTTGCTGAAATGAGGAAATTTACAGCAATACTACCAATACAATTATAGTGGTATAATTTCTCATGTAGTCAATCTTATTCTTATATAGCCAAGCCCTTAAAAGAGGAGAAACTGCGGAAGGCACGTAAAAACTTTGGTGTGATAGAAATAAATTAGATTTCAGAGAATACTGGGGCAGCTGCTGCAGCCCCAGGTCCCTTTGAATTGCCCCTGGAGTGCCACTCTGTGCGGCTCTAAAGGCTGGGAGGGGGCACAACAGTCTGGGCTGCATTAAGGGCTGACTACCTTCTGTCCCACCTCTTCTGACCTTGGCCCTGCCCCTTTCAGGAGCACCAAGCAGCCCCCTCCCCAACTTTCGCCAAGGTTCACAGTGGCTGTCTACCCCTCTGCAACTACCAGATGCATCAAAGGTGAGTGCAAGAAATCCCACAGTAGATAAATTGTAGCCTAACCTGACTTTTGGAAAGCTTTTCTCTTTAATCTGTTACTTATGCCTTGAGTATGAGGGTTTATAGCCCTTCCTGAACATAATTCTAATTCAGTGACTGGACATTCCCTTGAACTATATAAATGCTTAATCCTTTTTTGTATACAGTGACCTAAAGACAAGCTCCATAGCTCGAAAGCTTGTCTCACTCCTCCACAGAGTTTGTCCAATAGAAGATTTTCTCACTCAGCTTGAGTGTCTCATCCTTTTGTAAATACTTTTAAGCTTGTCAATCTTAATATTGTTTAGAATGAGTCTTTCATAAGATACATTGCTGGGAGGTTTTTTTTTAGTATTGTATTTGAACCTATCAGTTTTATATTTGTTGCTTTCCAGTTTCACTTGTTCCTGGATTGTGAAAAAAGATGAATAGCATTCATTTTACCTTTTCTATGCTATTTAATTTTGTTGAAAACTTCTTTTATATCACCCATTATTTACTTCCTCTCTAAATAAAGTTGTTCTGGTCTTTTCAATTCCCCCTCATACAAAATATGCCCATGATCTAGTCATATTTGTCAGAATTTCTGTTTCTCCCACTTTTTTGAGGTAGAGTAACTAAAACTAAACACAGTATTCCAAGTATAGGGTACTATAGTTTGATGTAATGGTTTTATGTTCTCAGTGATACTTTCTTTTTGCATACATCCTCATGTATTTTCTTTTGACAGTTATTATAGAGCAGTGGCTCTCAACCTTTCCAAAGTACTGTACCAGTTTCAGGACTCTGATTTGGTTTGTGTATCCTAAGTGTCACTTCACTTAAAAACTACTTGTTTACAAATCAGACAAAAATACAAAAAAGGCACATTGCACTGTTGATGAAACATTGCTCACTTTTTTCATTTTTACCATATAATTATCAAATGGAATATAAATATTGCACTTTCATTTCAGTATTCAATATATAGAACAGTATAAACAAGTCATTGTCTATGAAATTTTAGTTAGTACTGACTCTGATTTTGCTTTTTGCAATACCACTTTTCATCCATTTTACAAAGATAATTAAAAATATATTGAACTCCAGTTCTTGTACAGAGCCTCATGTCAGTCTGCTTTAACCTTTTACCATGTTGAAAACTGGTCTTTTATTTCTATTTTATGGCAGTATTTTACCTGTCAGATCATTTACAATGAAACAAGGAGTATGCAGGTCATTTAGAATGAAACAAAGTATGAATGCATTAATTTAGTTACCAAATTTGATCTTTGAGTTTCTAATTATTTCATGGACTTCCTATGGAATTAAATCCCTCCCCTTAGACTTCTTAGTGCCCCATATCTCCTACATCCACACAAATGCACATCAGGTGCAATGTATTTCTGTCTGGGCTAACAGTAGGACTGTATGTGAGAATTTAGTCCTTTGAGGCACCACCCTAAAAAAATTGAGATGTTTAATTTGATCTTTGAGTTTCTAATTATTTCATGGACTTCCTATGGAATTAAATCCCTCCCCTTAGACTTCTTAGTGCCCCATATCTCCTACATCCACACAAATGCACATCAGGTGCAATGTATTTCTGTCTGGGCTAACAGTAGGACTGTATGTGAGAATTTAGTCCTTTGAGGCACCACCCTAAAAAAATTGAGATGTTTAAAGCCTTAATCAAGTGATGATACTAATCACATACAACACAGATAATGCCCATAAAAAGATATTTATATAATTAGTGGATAAACAGTTTGTGAATGTGTTCAGACAGCATTTTATATAAAGCTTACCCCATAATGAGATCACTATCTGATTTTCTTAATCTTAGCTATGCCAATCTCTACATGAGTAGCAAAAGTCCATGGTGTTTTTAAAAATCTGGAAATAAAGACCAAATAGCCATTTACAGTGTGTCTGGCATTACCCCCAATGTTTTTCAATTGTCTGAAATATAAATTAGGCATAAGCAGCTGAATGAAAGACTGATAGGTAAAGAATTATCAAAAAGTTGGTAAGTGTTAGAAAACTTTTAAAAGCAAAGCTCAGTACCTATTTTAAAGTAGTTTGTGATCAACTATTGGGGCCACTCATCTGCCATATACCTCCTCATGCTGTGACTCTCCCTTAGTTATCTCTTACCACACTCTGGTAAGTTTCCAGCATACTAGTTCTTAGCTTCAGCTAAATCTCAAACTCTTCAAAAACCTTCAGAACTCTTCTGACTTACTGACAAGACTGTGTTGTGAATAATACTGACCTTTCTAAAAAAAATTGGACCTCAAGAAGAACTCTGTGGTGCTTAAAAGTTTGTGTCTTTAACTCAGTGTTTCTCAAAGTGGTCCACAAAACCACTTTGAGAAACCGTTAACTCACCGCACCAGTTTGTTTAATTACCGGCACTGCAGCAGAGCCTCACAGTTCCTATTGGCTCCATTTTGCCATTTGCAGCCAAGGGGAGCCGCAGGAAGTGGCACGGGCCGGGCCACTGCTTCCCACAGCTCCCCTTGGCTGCAAACAGCGAAATGAGGCTAATAGGAGCCGCGAGGCTCTATGGCTACGGTGTTAGTAAGTCAAAAAACAAACACGGCCAGTTACAGGTTTTTCAAAGTGATTTCATGGACCACTTTGAAAAACACTGCTTTAACCAACAGGAATCAGTCCAATAAAAGAGATTACCTCACCCTCCTTGTTTTTGGATTTAATACAAGCCTGCTTGTATCAAGAGCTCTTTGATAATGATGGATTCAAACCCGCAGACTTAAATCCCTGCCTTCTCCTGAGATGTACTAATTCCACTGAAAGATAGATACGTCAAGACCTTTTCTGTTTAGAAAAGTCCCATATAGAGTATGCTAGCAAAATGTATTGACCTGTCCATTTTTAGCCACATGTATTGGGAGGGTATAAAGATAAATAAAAGCAATTGCTGATGAACAAAACAATTCTTTTGTGAAGGGTCCATGCAGTGTTTCCCAAGCAGAAAAAAGATCAGCGACAGTCTATAATACCAAACTGATAAACCTTCCTACTACTGAGGGATAGAAATTATGTGCTCAGTTCCCCTCTTTCCTTCATGCAAAATCAAAACTTTCATTAAATCCTACCTTTTTTTCTTCTATGATATCTCAGAATGTATGCTTTCCTCCATCATTACCCAGACTCCTATCTATACTTTAGTACCTTATTCAAGAAAAGTTGTCCATTCTTAGCTAATACAATAACTATGGTATCTTCTTATGCTCTGCCTTCCCTTGACCCTATCTAATTTTCATGCTCTTCTGATTACTGCTGTCCTGATCTCCTCATATATGTCCCTTTATGCATTCTTCTTTTTTAAAAACTGAGTTCTATTGGAAAGTAATAAATATACACCATTGTAACTAGCTACAATTACTCTATTTGTGTTCTGAGGGTGTGAGAGTTTCATCACGTATTTCTCTATTTCCTTATTTTTGTATTATGCAGCCCAACTAGTCTAATGTGGAAGCAACATAAGTTACAAAAAAAAACCAATTTGTATAGTGCACTATTTTTTTTTTTCAAAAGTTTTTCCATGGAAAAATTTGGCCCACTGCATCTGAGTCCAGATTTGATTTAGGAATCCAAAGTTTAAAAAAAGGTAATCCAGCCTTATCCTATTTGTAACAAGGTTATCTGCATTAACTGCATACAGGCAGTCCCCGGGTTACGTACAAGATAGGGACTGTAGGTTTGTTCTTAAGTTGAATCTGTATGTAAGTCGGAACTGGCGTCCAGCCGCTGCTGAAACTGACCACCAGTTCTGACTTACATACAGATTCAACTTAAGAACCCCAAGTCAGCTGCTGCTGAAACTGATCAGCAGCTGATTCCAGGAAGCCCGGGGCAGAGCAAC